TTTTTTGCATGCCTCACTTCAGAAATGACTAGGGATCATCTGACAGCAGATGTGTTCTCCAGTCATTTGTCATTTCGTTGTCAGAACAATCCCATGGCTGGCCTTAAGCATTAAAAGCCTGAAGATTAGATTAGTGAGGAAAGTTTAGCAAATACATAAAATAAGATAATTGAATTTGTGAAGAAGTGCTACAATTCTTGAGTGAGAGAGCCTCATAGAAATTTGGGCATGAAAATAAGTAAAAAATGATATTTGAGATCAAATTTAGAGATATAATTTCGAGGGCCATGGTTGGTCAGCCATATACATAATAATATTTTAGCTCACTAGTGTCTTTTTCTATCATAGACATACATAAATAATTCATGTAGAGATCTTCCAAATATTTATATGAATAAAAGGGGAAATTGAGGTAATGCTTGTAAAGGATTGTTTTCTTCTGTAAGTTACCACTTAGAGAATTATATTTTTGTCCAATACTTCTGCTAGAATAAGTTGGAGTCATAATTGTTACTAATACACTTTTAAGGACCTTTCTTTCTTTTAAAGGTAAATAAAGACTATAGGATCGATTCTTCAATTTTATTTTATTTTATTTGTCTTAGAATGCTCTTTTCCCCTCCAAACCAGTGGGCCTCAGCCAGATCCCATAGCTTTTTATACTTTAATGTTTCATAATCTGTGCAGAAACTCTGAGATAAGATGGGTCCAAGAGGCTAAATGGTACTCATCCAAAAAATGTCCTCAATTTCAAGATCTCAATTGCACAGCTGGGTTCTGTTGGTCACATGTCAGCTTCAGAGCACATCTGTTCATTCCTCAAGGATCCACTAGGCCCCATGAACACAATGTGCTCTGTGTAGGGTACTTTACACCACAAAACTCAGCAGCTGCAAGGGTGAGAAAATCTCGACTTCTCAAGTTTGTGTCTCTAGGCAGTTTGAGTAGGGTGTTTTCTCTCTGGCTTTCTTTTGGTTGCTTGTCACTTCTGACATACAGAGGCTTGTTGGCAACAAAGTTGCTTTCACTGTTCTCAGGGACAGATGTTTCTAGTCTGGGAAGAAACAGACCAAATTTTTACTGGAAAGTACAAATTCTTGCCACATCCAGGCACCTAACCTGAGAAAACATAAAGAAGATCTTGGCCGCTGGCTCACGAATGGAAACGTAGTTACTGCCAGGAAAATAATGCCCCAAATCTAAAGACTTGGTCTCAGTATTTAGGGAAAATATTTGTGTCAAATATTCCCATCTCTATGGTTCATAGCAGGCACACAACAATTTTCCCAGTAGGCGAGTGGTAAAACTCCAATTTATCTGGAAGATCAACATCTTTTTATCAGCCCTTTCTGAGAATTGTTAATGGAGAAAAAGAGAGAGACGGGGAGGGAAAGAAAAAGAGAGAGACTGAGACTGAGATACATGCACCTTTAAAATTCTGGGCATTAGAAATATTTTGAGCTGACAGGCTTGAGTGGAGTACCGTGAGAGGCAGAAAAGTGACTGAAGATAAATGAAAGGGAGCAACATTCAAACTAGTTTGATTCACAGAGAGTTATCATTCTGCATCAAGAAGGATCTTACGAAGTTTGCTTTTATAGTCCTCAAAGGTCTTGTTGCTACTTTTGGAGGAACGCATAGTCTTGGGTCAATATGCATTAAATGAGATGTGAGGGACAAAAACAGCTTATAATATTGTAACTAGGTCCTCCCCACAGGAATGTGTCTATATTTATATAGCATAACCTGTTAAATCTGTACCAATGGCTGCAAATTCAGACCACAGAAGCTTCTTTAATAACACACATACACCAGGTCCAAAATGTTCTACTCTGTCATTCATGTGTAAATCAAGTATATTATTCATATACTTCATCGACTTCCTGAATGCGTGCTAAAAATGCCAAGGAAAAACTCGTTAATCGTGACATGGTGACTGCTCAGCTAGCACTGAAATGTTGATGGAAAAGAAAAATTGTCAAAGAGCCTTTTTAAGAACCTCTGCAGGTTATACTCACAAATCGGAATTCAGAGAACATGAATTCCCTAGTTCAGGAAGGAAGGATTAAAAGCAAACACCCTCCAGTGGTTGCATCTAAAAGTTTCATAGTTTTCTCAAATGGCTGACTGTTGAAAAAATATTTTCATGTACCATCTAGTACTCTGGATCAAGTCCCCAATCATTCTGATGAGTGTAAAATCTCAAAAATATGAAAATGATCTTCTATGGACTATCGAATCTCTGCTGCATTTGATGTGTAACCTCTTTCTAGAAAGTAAGCTCTAAGAGCTGGAATCATGGTTGGTTCACCCATCATAATACTGAAGTGTCATAGACACTTACAAAGTGCCAATAGCACCAAAGTCTTAGATGGAACATTGGCTTATGCACTTGGGTTTGTAACAGATTATGCATAAGAGTGACACATGGTTTAGACATATTGTTTAGTAAATTAATAGTCAAGATAATTTAAGAGAATTTAAAAAGCATGTTATATTTGTGTTATCTTGAGGACCAATCTGGGAGGAGTTGGGTAAAGGAAAAGAATATGATCAAAATATATTATATGATGCCAGGTGGTGGTGGTGGTGGTGGTGGTGGTGGTGGTGGTGGTGGTGGTGGTGGTGGTGGTGGTGGAGCACACCTTTAATCCCAGCACTCGGGAGGTGAATCTTTGTGAGTTCGAGTCCAGCCTGGTCTACAGAGTGAGATCAAGGACAGGCTCCAAAGCTACACAGAGAAACCCTGTCTCAAGAATTCAAACCAAAAAAATATATATTATATGAACATTTCAAAGAATTAATAAAAAAAAACATTTTAAAACAGAGAAGGGCAACCAAAAATAAAGACCTTGCTTATTTTCATTTCTTCTTCTTCTCTTAAACTAACACTGTTGAAAATATATTAACAGTTATGATGAGGCACCAAATCACTTTAAATTGTATTAGATTACAATATCATTATGAAGATAAATGAAATACAGTACAATACTCATAGAACTTATAATCAATCATATTGGTAAGATATAAATAAATGGAATGCTACATAAAATTACAAAATCAAACAAAATATCATAGGTCTGCACATTTATAGTCAAAGAGTACATATACACCATGACTTCAAGGGCTGAAGAGATTACAACAGATTTTCCACAAAATCAGTAAGGGATATGGAAAATAATCAATAGGGTCTTCAAGTGGCTAACATAAACAAACACAGTGCAGACACACATAATGCATGCCATAGGCCTAACTTGGCTTGTGTAGAAGCTTTGAATAGGTAACAAATAAAATGGTCAATAGGAGAACAATCTGGGCTAGTAGCCAATTATGAAAGTGTTTAAGGAAGGTTATAGATTTTATCTTGGAGGAAATAGTGAAAAAAATCAAAGTTTGTGGAACAGTGCTTTGGTACTGATGGGGATGCACACATGTTAACGGATTACATGGAACAGTGAAAGTATAAAGAAAATAGAGATATAATCAATATTATCAGAGTCATAAAATTGCTGTCTAAGCTAGGATAATAGAAGTCAGAGTGGAAAAGACACAAGGGACATGGTTTGGGAGAAAGACCCTGAGGCATAAAAATGACTCCAAGGCATCAGGATATTCCTTGGGCAATCTATTGCTATAGCACTGTATTTTAAGTGATGAAAGTAGGCAAAATTACAAAAAGGTAAGAGTAGAGAGACCCTGGAAAAAGAAGCTTAGAGACATTTTCATTGAGGAAAAGAATTAACTTGTAAATATTGTTTTCTTTGGACCTTTTAATGCACATTAAATGCATATACTAGTAAATACACTCATACATGCATACATATGATCCTCAAGAAGAAAGAGAAATAACAGACACAGTTGGTTCCCATTTGTTTCTCATTAGCTTAATAACCATGGTGAACTGACTGTGATCTGAAATACTACTGAGGAACAGTATGAACAAGCAGAGTGAGATCTATATTCTATATCCAGCTCTATTTTTGACAGCCATGTGACCTTGGGCTTCTTTGAGCCTCTGTTTCCTCATCTGGAAGATAAATACATAAACATTCTCTCTCTCTTTCTGGCAAGCCTCCCCCCCCCACAGAATTGTAAGTCTGAAATGTGATAAAATTTATGTCAAATTATCTTAAATGCCATCAAGTCTGAAGATAAAGATTTTTTGTAATTATCTCATGTGTATAAATTCACATATTTAAGAATTTTAATAGACACATATGCAAATATGTTATAGTCCATTGATTTTTCCTCAATATTTTTAAAAGACCTTTGAGGGCAGGGACAATCTCTTAGGGCCTATGTTCTCTTTATATTTTACCATGTACGTGTTCTAAACAAAGTACGTGTTTTTTAACAAGAACAAAGCAGGCATTTTGACTTGAAACTGAATTTACTCTGAAAGCTCAAATGTAGCTTTCAATATGTAGCATTACTGAAAAGTAGCATTCAAACCTACAGTGTCTGGCACATCTTAAACTTTATTTAAATATTAAATACATACAGAAAATACTGCTCCCAATGGCATCATACACCTTTTAAAGTGGATTTTTCCATAAATCTGTGGATGAGTGACAAGGCATAGTGAATAACAAGGATGAAAGGCAAAGATTCAAATGTATTAGTGACATTTATTATATTTATAAGTAGAAACAATGACGGAAAGTCCAGCTTGGGAACTGCAACACACCGAAGTAACTTTAACTGAATTTTACAGCTTATTTTTAAATGAAATGTCCTTATTACCCCAGAAACTAAAGCAATGTAATAAAAACCACACTTATAATATAAGTTTTAAAACCACACTTAAGTTATAAATGAGAATACCTTCCAAAAACTTCAGATGCTCTAAAGTCACAATATACACAAGGAGAAATTTGAATTTGAAAACTCGTCTACTGTGAGAAACAGTTTTCTAAAAAGTTGGCTCTGGAGCTTGCCACGTCCATATAATTTGCTGAAAGGGAAGGAATGTTTTAAATACAAAATGCAAAGTTACTTACTTCCACTTGGAATCAGATCTCTTTCTGGGATAAAGAGTTTATATCCATAGTGTTTTTCTAGGACATCTGGCAGTATTTCAAGAGCAAACTGCTCTTCCTCAGTATTGTCACAGTCCAAAGTATCTTGATCCACTTTTGTGTAAGAGAGATAGGCATCATATTCTTTGTTGTCTTAAAGAATAACAGTAACAAAAACAAAAGTGGTAAATATTAGAGGGTTCCCTTTGAATATTAGACATCTGTAACAACTAACAAGCAGGAATAAACATTGCAATTAGTGATAATCTTTAAAAACTGGAAAAATAATTCACGTTATAGGTAATGCAGTCTAATTTAAAATAAATATTTCATATGAAATGACCTCAAACTGTTATGAAGTGGGCCACTAAGAGTCAGGACAGAATAGAACAAAGATTTATTATTTGCGCCATTTGGTGAGGAGCTCCATTTGTGATATTCAGTGATTTCTGTAAATGATTATCTCAGTGTGTTTGAATGCAGGACTAAATCAGCCGAAGTCATGGATTTGAACCCTTCATGTGCCAGTTGGTTTGGCTCTGCCACTTAGTCACAGACTGTACCTCGGTTTGCACAAATATGTGCATGAGATCCAAAAGGGGCTGAGCCCTAAGCTGTGAAAGATTGAAGTAATCCAGCTTCACTCCTGGAGACTGTACTCAGCATATGCCACACTTCCAGTTGGTTAGTGTCATCATCTTCATATACAAAAAGCAGTTCATTACCAAATAGCAGAAACAGCAGCTGCCTTTTATACAAATACATTGCCTGTTAGTCTTGTTCAGCCAAGTAATTTGACACAACTTCCCAAAGAAGCCTTTGTTTCAAAATATACCTCCTTCCAATATTGCCAAACTAGCTCTTCTCTTCACACGTTTAGTCATGGAGTTAACTGTACTTTGCAAGCATATTTTTACCCTCCTTTGCTGTACTGGCTCAGAGCCAATCTCTCTAAAGTACAAATGTTTATGTTAATGAACACAGCTATCTGTTTTGTTAGCCTCCCCATATGTTTTAGTAGGAACATATCAGAAAAGTTGCTGTATGATCAAAATTCTCTTACTAAAGAAAATTATTTTTAAAGTTAATTTAGTGAGCATAAGTCCATGAATAACTAATAATGCTTATTAATACCAGTTTCTTGAAAACATTGATTTTGAAAGACTAGTAAGCATCTATTTCTAAAATACATCAACATTTTCCACTAAAACAGATCTGATTGGAATATAGTTAAAATTTTGTCATATGGTATTTTATAAAATAAGGTAGGCATTTATTTACCTACTCCATTAGTATTTTGGTCCTAGTGACTGTATGGTGTGTAAACTACAGGCATAAAGCAAGAAACACATTGCCCTATTGTTGGAGTGGGCTGGAATACCTGAGACTTCTAATATGAGACTTATGTTCAAATTCTTGTGCAGTTCTACCCCTTTTACCTCTGCAAGAAGAGACCTATGGTTATTGATGTTAAGATGGTGCCTGAGATCCAGAGGAAAGCTGAACACACTTAAGTATCCCCAAAAACTATACAAGGCTTCTAAACCTTGCTTAGATTTCTTGATTGCCTAGGAGCAGATGAACACAAAACAATGTCCTGGATAGTTGAGAAGATCTTTTGGCTTACAAATTGGACACATTCCACTGTTATACATAAAACTCTACTTGGAATTGGAAATGTTCTCCAGCAATGCTAATGTAAGAACCTCCTGGAAATGCTAGCACCTCTGCCCTTGCTCCAATCAAGCACAGGATGCACCTGCAGGCCCCTGACTTTCTCCAGCTGTAATTACTCACCTGGGACTCAAAGCTGCCGATGATACACAGCTGGAAGAATAAAACAGTCCAAAGGACAAAAAGCTCTATTTCTATGAGCAGAATATATTTTATTGTTCTTCATAGATAGTATTGCTTCCTCAAACTCCATGTCAGGCTACACCATTGTTTCCCATCTCACAAAGCTAACTAAACTGAACTACATATTACTTTACTCATCAATGATTTGTTGAGCATCTACTGTGTGCTTAACTATCTTCAGTGGCTATGTGACTCTATCATCTATCTACATTATGAGAAGGTTTAGAATCTTCACCCACTGCTTTTTCAGACTGCAGTGATTTACTCTCTGACTATGCTGAAACTCACATGTAACTGGAACTATCTTCACTTGGTTTACTATGCCCTAATATTATAGCTCAATACATACATGTTCTTCTAGTAAATTATTTCTATATTTTCATATACTGAATCAGCTATGAAAAAGAATATCCATGTCTTTAGCATGTTAATACTTGAATATGTACCTGTATAATCAGTTTTACTTAGAATTCTGGAAGCACATCACTTTCTGGGAAAATGGTGCTTTGGTTTCAGTTATGTCCCTACAAGGTGAATAAAAGGTGAAGGGCATATTGTAGCTGGCTGGAGCAGGAAAAGAGCTCTCAAAGCAACCATGTCAGATGTCTCAGAAACTTCAGGATGCCAGCTAGTGAGCCAGCAATGACTCAGATGCCATAGCTTTAAAAGGCACTTCAGCCTTATGTAGAGAGCCAAGAAATTTTCATGAATAGCCACAGCTGTTGCTTACAAAGAGGGACAAGATGAATAGAGTAAAAGCATCAACATGATGCAAATAAAGTTAACAGCCAGGCTTGACAATTGTTTGAAAACCAAGAGGCAGTTCAGTGACACCACTTTTCTAGACAACACTAATGAGTCTTCTGTACTAAATTATGCTGACTAAACTTATTTGAGGAACCAGAAAATAGAGAACAATGCAGACAAGGCATTAGAAGGAAGGCGGCTGGCACAGTAGTCATCAAAGCTATGCTGTTCCTAATGAAGAGAGAAGTTACAAAGACAACCAAACTATTTGTGGAGGAATTTTCTTGTTGCCACACCTGTCCTTCCATATTTTAAAATCTAATTTTAATTTTGTTCATCATCGGGGAGCCATTCCTGTTTTTGTAGGCCAGTTCTCCTGCAGCTATGCTGAAGTCCTAAGCTTCTAAAGGGAACAGAACTCTGTAACTTTGTTGATTATCATATACCCAATAACTAATTCAGTCCTTATGTGTATATGTGTATATATAGTGTTGATCTGAATGGAGACTGTAAGAGAATGAGACTCTTAGATATTTATTGAAAAACTGATAGTTCCAATAAATAAAGCAATCTGTGGTGAGTGAAAATGAGAGGAATCAAAATTGGCTAGAACATCAAAGCTTGTTGGATGAATTCTATTTTATATAACAAATCCTTTCCATAAAACTTTCATGAAATTCATATATGTGTATGTACATGTATGTGTGTACTTGTGTATATTGCTTGTTTTGAAAGCTTGAGGACCTAAACCCATGTATAAACTATGTTTGTACTCCCAATGATGATAACAAGGGAGGGGAGACATCCCTGGAAGCTAGGCTGGTTTCAGGCCAATGAGAGACCATGTCTCAAAGAAAAAGTAGAAAAGACCTGAGGGTCAACAAAAGACACTGTTCTATGATCTCCCCATGTATGCTAAGTCTAGCATGCACTCACACAAACACATGTTCTCCCCTACATACATAAATGCAAATGCATATACAAAATTTAAAAATTAAAAACATAAATGTGTGTATAATGTCACTGTTCTGGTTAGGTGTTTGTCAACTTGACAAAATCTAGAGTCATTTGAGAACAGAAAACTTCAATTAAGAATATATCTCCACTAGATTGGCTTGTGGATATTTGCTTGATTAATGATTGATGTGGGAGGGCCTGGTCCACTATGGGCAGTACCATTCCTGGGGAGGTGGTCCTATAAGGAGGCAGGCTAAGTTGGCTATGAAGAACAAGCTAGTAGCGGCATTTCTCCATGGCCCTTGCTTCAGTTCCTGTCTCCAGATTCCTGTCTTGAGTTCCTGCCCTGCCTGACATCCCTCCGTGACAGAATGTGATCTGATTTTTAAAAAATAAAACAAACTCTTTCCTCCTCAAGCTGCTTTTTCTCATAGTGGTTTATCATAGTAATAGAAAGCCTAAGACAGCCACTATGTATGTCTAAGTATAGTGTGTGTTATACGTAAACATAGTCAAAGAGAAAACACAAAGAAAAAGTATATAGAAAAACTAAGTTGTATTGATGAGATGTTAGAATATATATAAAATAACAAAGAATTTGGTAGCATATATAGCTGACATTGGCATCATATAATTTATGTTTCTAAAATGATGTTAAAATTCATTTACTCAGCACTTAAATTCAGTGGTTGAGAACTCTTGATGTTCAAGTATTAGAACTTGAATTGGAATCTGAACACCCATGTAAAAATTCAGGCATGTCTTTAAGTGCTTACATAATTAGTGTTGGTTGGGGTGGCAGAAGCAGGAAGATATCAGGAACTCTTAGGCTAGCCAAGCTAGCTAAAATGGAGAGCTTCTAATTCAGTGAGAGACAGCATCTTCGAGAAGCCAGAGAGTGGTAGATATCCTTCCCTGACCTCTGCATGTGTACACATTGGCACATGAAGTCACACATGCATATGCATGCACTGTATATACAATGCAAATACTAAAAAGAAAAATAAACAAATGAAATTCATTTATTCATCCTCAGCACACACTTCTTGACTTTTTAGGATTTATTTAGGCCAGTACAGAGATTGTGTGCTCATGTAGAACATGAAACATTTAATTGTTACTTTGTAGTGGAGATCTTTGAAGTGACCTCCACCCTTTCCCTAATCCATCAGTCTTGTACTTGAGCATACAATTGTCTAATTAAAATTCTTATTATTACTAGACATTTTTGATCAAATGGACCATCTTAGAACTAAAGATGCAAATAGATCCTTGTAAAAGCAGTGATATTACCATGAACTTAGTTTTACATTTATATACAACAACCAGTCAGTTACTAATGGTTATTGTGTACAGATGATGACAGCAAATGGTTAATATAGAGTAACCTAATATTGTCTTTTACTGAGATTAATAAATTGCTCATAATTGTTACTCAAAGCAAATTAATCACAAGAGCTTCTTTTTCATGTTCTTTCATATAGAACACACACGTTCTCTCCCTCTTCCCCACCTCTCTCTCTCTCTCTCTCTCTCTCTCTCTCTTACACACACACACACACACACACACACACACACACACACACACACACACACACTCCTTCCTAGTATATACTTCAGATTTGTAACTTAGATGTCTAATTTCCAATATTAGGAACTGAATATAATTAATTACATTTTCATGCATATAAACATGATCGAACTAGCCCTTATTTCTCTTTGTGAAGATATTTTTGAATATCAGTGTGTATTATCTTAAATACATGGCTATAATTCCTGAGTAAATACACAACTTGAAAGTACACTTTTCAAGAAATATTGGCCTAACTTACTGTGAAAACAATAGTCAACTAAGATCCACTTATACCAGTATCTGTATAATAGCAACAATAATGTCAAAATCAGATTTCACAAAAATTTTGTCATCACAGCTATCGTTATAAAAATAAAGCAAATTAATAAAATCTTCTTTGAGGTGAAGACTACTAGAAATATAAATAAAAACTTACTCTTCAATATTTCATTAAACTAAACATCTTTAAACTTGACTTTAAAGGTAACTGTTTGAAAAGTATATTTTGTTTAAAAAAACTGATTTACATCAGACACTCTACATACATATTTCCAAGGTTTATAGTAGTTGGGGAGTGTGGACACTATATATATATAGTAATATGATATGATTTCTTATGTGTGATGATACAAAAAAAGCAGTTTGACTTATGGGGGAAGGATATAATCAAAATATATTTAAATTTAAAAATCATTTTAAATAATGAATAAAATATTAAAAAACAGAAAAATTGCAATTTATTCTCTTGAAAAAAATGAAAATGTTTCTGAATGTTCAAATAGTAAAATTTAGTACAATAACTAATTGATACTTCATCTATAAGATTTCTCAAAGTCAGCCGGGCGGTGGTGGCGCATGCCTTTAATCCGTGCACTCGGGAGGCAGAGAGAGGCGGATCTCTGTGAGTTCGAGGCCAGCCTGGGCTA